TCAGTAAGTTTCATTTAGAACCCTCATCATCCTTCTAAACTCCATTGAGTATAGACCCAGCGTCTTCAACCGTTCCTCATATCTTAAGCCTTTCATTCCTGGGATGATTCTTGTGAACCTCCTCTGGACCCACTGCAGGGCCAGTATACCCTTCCTGAGGCATGGGGCCCAAATTTGCTCACAATATTCTAAATGTGGTCTGACCAGAGCCTTATAAAGCCTCAGTAATACATTCCTGCCTTTATATTCTAGTCCTCTCGGAATAAATGCCAACATTGTATTTGCCTTCCTAACCACTCACTCAACCTGCAAGTTAGCCTTAAGAGAATCTTGGACTAGGACTGCCAAGTCCCTTTGCACTTCAGATTTCTGAATTTTCTCCCCATTTAGAAAATAATCTATGCCTCTACTCTTTCTACCAAAGTGCATGACCTCACACTTACCCACATTGTATTCCAACTGCTATTTCTTTGCCCACTCTCCTAGCCTGTCTAAATCCTTCTGCAGCTTCCCTGCTGCCTCAATACAATCTGACCCTCTACCTATCTTAGTATCATCTGCAAACTTAGCCAGAATGCCCACAGTTCCTTCATCTAGATCATTAATGTATAAAGTGAAAAGTTGTGCTCCCAACACTGACCCATGGGGAACCCCACTAGTCACTGGCTGCAATTCAGAGCAAGACCCTTTAAACCCCAGTCTCTGTTTTGTGTCAGTGTCCATCTTCTATCCATGCCTCTAACACCATGGGCCCTTATCATACTCAGCAGCCTCCTGTGCGGCACCTTGTCAAAGGCCGAATTGAAGTCCAGATAGATAACATCTATTGGCTTTTCTTTGTCTAACCTACTTGTTACCTCCTCAAAGAATTCTAACAGATTTGTCAGGCATGACCTCCCTTGAAGAATCCATGCTGTGCTTATTTCTTCATATTGGATATGAAATTGTTTGTTTGATTTAACTGGTAAAACCTGTAACTGAAAACAATTGGTCCAGATACAATAGCATTTTCTGTTTTGCTGTCCAATAGGTCCTTACACCATTGTCACATTCCCTTTCCTCTTTGCTGTGATGTTTGGAGACTTTGGACATGGTTTGATCATGTCTGTGTTTGCTTTATGGATGGTGCTTTACGAAAACGACCCGAAATTAAAACGAACGAGAAATGAGGTGAGACTTAGGGGGTCATGGGTGAGTCCTCTCAAGGAGCGTGCTTGCATGTATGTGTTGGGGGGGAGAGTGTGTGTGT